GAAATTTTTGGACTTTTTATTGTCGGATATGAATTTGGAGTTGGAAGAAAATATATGTCATCTAAAATTGATAAAAATTGAAGGTATATAAAAAATCAAGAGAATAACAAAAGATTATGTCTTGAAATCTCAAATATGGAAAAATACAAAAACAAAATGCCTATTGTATGAATTATTATAATTTAGTTTATAGACTTGTTTGAATAATAAGTGGAGGTTGTTAAGTGTTTGATACTAATGCACATACAACAATTAAGAAAATCCAAACATTATAAAACATTAAATTCTACTTCACCAATATGATCTTTGACTTTTCATGTGGAGTTAATAGTATAAATTATCACTTTATTATCATTTTTTCTCAAATCTATCTCTTTTCTATTTTTCATGCACTCGAACTATATAGTATATATGTATTAAGAAATTAATTTTTTCCTCATTTTATTGCTTATCTTCTCCATCTACAACTCCCAATAATTAATAGCCACGATCTCATCCTCCATCTCTTCCACTTTCTCTTCCTTCGACCCAATAATAAAATAAACGCAAAAACTTGTTTGTCACGAAAGAACTTTGAAGACTCACTTTTGAATTTCAACCACTCTCTAAACGTCCTCAATTATTGATCGATTTGACTCAATCATCAAAATTGGAACCACATTTTTTAGAATATATGAATTTCAAAGTATCAAGGGTTTTCAATCCGGTTTAGCCCGTTGTCTAACCGATTAAGTGGGTTGATGATTCATGATCCAATCGTTTTGGTCCGCTTTTGCCCGGATATATGAAAAATTCATTATACGTTCATATGTCTATAAATTATACAAAATCTCATTTACATGTGGATAATATTTTTCCTCGCCTGAACTATCTACATTTGTTTCTCTATCTGTTGCTTTCCGCTATTCTCCTTCGAGCTCCTAAAAAGCACTCCAACAACATGTATTCATCACACGATGAAGCTTTCACTCCTATGGCGTCGGTGTGTGTCAGATGTGGAATTAATGAGGATTGAGGAATGACCAAGTGAGAATTGAGTGTGGGGGTGTTTGCGAGGGAAGGCAATATGCGATGGAATGCGAGTATTGTCAGTAGTATCTTTCTCTAAAAAATTGACTAGATGGATTTAGCTTACCAATTCGTGGATCGGGAGCCAGAACGGGAGCACAAGAGCGTATATTTTTCGAGAATTATAATTTGAGTGCGCCGAAAGAGTGTGAATATTATATTAATTTAATTAATATAACATTTAACTTACTAACATGTTTTGGTCAAAATATTACAAAATGCAGCGGAAAAATAAAAATATTTTGGTGAAATAATAGTTTTAAATAATCTGATTAGGCCTGAAAAAGGAACAGATTTCAAAAGTTGAATGGAAACCCACCAAAGTTTACATTACTGTTTTGAGTTTTATTTTATTTAAAAAAAACGAATGCATCGTTTATCCACCCCATGCACTCAATTAGTTGTTAATAAAAGAGTCTATATGTTCTTCTTCCACTTCTACATATTTAATACTGTAATTGGAATTGGAATATTCGAACCAATGATATTTGGGCCGCGATTTTAAAGTTATCCTATGTTTATAAGATATATATGAGTTTAATTAAGTATTAAAGAATAATTAAAATGAGAAATTTGGCCTCTGTTAGTCACACAAAGTTTCAACTCAAATACATGTTTCTCTAATATTTTTTGCTTCTTATTTATATGAGATGAGTTAGATTGCCTCTATAACTGTGCAGCTGGAGAAATATGATATTTACTATTGTGGAATTATAATGGCTTTTGAGATAGTGGGGTCTCGTATTATAGGCTCTCGAATCTAAATAAAAAAGAAGAGACGATGGGATAGTCAAACATGGTATGTGTTGTTCCATGTTGTAGGGTTCCATGATAAGTAAAAGGATGATATGACAGCATAGTTACATATACAAATTGTTGAAAACAACATCGTTTTGAATTGGCCCGTTGCTCGAATTAGTTGGTTAAATCAGTTGGATTTCCCGATTTGATTGGGTTTTCATGGATTTGATCGATCCCGAGTAGACAACCAATTGGGCCTTCGACACCTACTAAGATACTCATGTTTAGGTAGAATTGGTTTGACCAGCAGAGTCAAACTCGAATTGACAATCATGGTTAGGACTCTTGTCTGTGTTTGAAGATACATTAGTGCAAATCCCAATACTTGTCTATTTTCTATAAAAAATAAAGATAAATAATGGTGAAGACAAAATGGCATTCATACTTTTGCTCTCCTTGTAGGACATTTGAAATGGGACGACAATTTTATCATGTCAGCATATAGTTTACCATTATTCGGGTAAACTATATAGCAAGGACATGTCTACATATATATGCTGACAATCAAGTCAGGTTTGGTAATTTCGGATTGAGGTTTCAGGTAACGTGTCGGTCATGTCCGTTTGGATGATTTCGGGTGAAATATTGACTCAACCCATTCGGTTTCAGGTCGGGCTACAGGTCGTTTCGGGTTATGAGCATGATAAAATTGTGAAGACAAAATGGCATTCATACTTTTGCTCTCCTTGTAGGACATTTGAAATGGGACGACAATTTTATCATGTCAGCATATAGTTTACCATTATTCGGGTAAACTATATAGCAAGGACATGTCTACATATATATGCTGACAATCAAGTCAGGTTTGGTAATTTCGGGTTGAGGTTTCAGGTAACGTGTCGGTCATGTCCGTTTGGATGATTTCGGGTGAAATATTGACTCAACCCATTCGGTTTCAGGTCGGGCTACAGGTCGTTTCGGGTTATGAGCGCTCTCAGAAACAGTATCAAACATGCTTCATCTTTTTTTTTTAACACAAATCTCCACATATACATGGCAATAGTTTACCAACACATGTTAATTAACATATTCTTGAATCATTTCATGCTAATGAAATGAAATACAAATTGTACAAATCGTCTAAAAACAATCACAAGAGTATTACTACTACAAGAGACACATGATATTTGATTATTCTTAAACTCCAAACACGTCTTGGCAAATACTTGTGATTTTTTTTAAACATCTCACCAATTTATGAGTGATTTTATCATTTTGAGAGTTATATATGAAATTGAATGGGTCTAACGGGCCGACCCGCTAACCCACCCAATCAGACCCAGAAAATCACGGGTTAATCAAGTTCGGGTCATTCGGGTTTCAGATTAAAAAATTCCTATTTTCGAACGGGTTCGGGTTGGGTCAACGAGTCGAGTTGTATTGCCAAATCTATTCAACATCGCTTCTACAAATTCGATATTGCAATTCGATATGTAATATTGAACCAATGATATTTGGTCTATGATTTTAAAGCTATCCTCTATTTATAAGATAGATAAATTTTAAATTAAATATCAAAGTATAATTAAAATAATTAAATATGAAAATTGAAATATCAAAACACCAATAAGTGCCAAGGGAATATTTAGTGACCTTAGCTAAATGTTCAAAAGTTCTGTGATTTTTATTTTATTTTAGCTTCATGTATGTTTTTTATTTAAAATGATACATCTAATCTATGTAGTCTGATTGGTTAAGATGACTGTAATGGTTGAAAATGACCTTGGTTTGAATCCTAGTATGTCTTTTTTTATGAATAAATGAGAAACAAATAGATCATTGTGAAGGCTGAAATATCATTCATACTTTCACACTCGTTACAGGAAAATTTGATAGGGGTGAAAGTTAAAATAACCAACTATTAATATAGTTGTAGTTCAAATACTTGTATGTAAAAATTTCAAGATTTTGTACTTTTAAACCAAAAATCGATTTGTCAAAAAGTTAAGAATTCATTCTCCAAGTCCCATGAAAATTCTTATGCAACCAAAACCCTGTGAGTGTGTAACATAAAATAAAAATTTATTAAGTGAAATATGGAGGGAAGAAAAAATGAGGGAAGAAAAATTTGGAGGGAGATAAAATAATGTGTTGATATAATTTTTTATTACATAGTCAATCAAATTAATTTTTCCTTGCTACTTTGTTTCATTATTAAAAAAAATTCCTCGATTGAAAATCATGTTCATTTTAACTCTATTTAAAATTTCCCCCATAAAAATTCGATAAACTTTGATGATGTACAGGACGACGTTCATTCTATAAAAATTTCATACTCTGATGTCATTTTAAATGGAACATAACACACTTCTATATTTTATGTAACAATTTTATGTATAATGAGGAGAGGAACGAAGTTGCTCGACTGAAAGGGAGAATATGTGAGCCCGAAAAGCGGGCGAAAAACATATGTGAGGTAAATCACCCATTTGGTCCTATCCAAATGTTAATCTGGTCCATTTTTTCAGCAATTATAAAATTAATGTGACGAAGTACCAAATCGCATTATACTCGTTTTGGTGTCATCCGGTTGTGAACTTTTTTATTACGTTCTCTATAAATTTTCATTAATAAAATTAAAAATCAGAAGTACTCAATTTGGGTAAAAATTGAAACCAAATTGTGAAATGTTTTTTTTATACAAATTAGGTGTTTGGTTTTTTAGTCGAATAAAATTATCATAGTTTGTTTACGAAAAAAAATTACTTTTTACCGGTAAAGAGTGAATTATCGGTTGACTACTAACCATAATTATCGATTCATTTATCGATACTAATAACCGCCTAACCGTTTACAATCCTATATGATGCTTGTCTTACAATGAAAAGGATGGCTGCTACAATTTTCAAACGACTTGAAATTTCTATCCATCTTCAAACCTTTGAAGAAAATACTATTTAGTTTTTTCCAAGCTTTCAATAGCCTTAAAAAGGGAGGAGTCAGAGTACTAACTCTACATGCTATGGTAGTAACACTTGTTACCGTTTATTACTTTTAACTTTTTTTTTACCGAAACCTACTGCGATTCTTATTAATCAGAGGACCCGATTACAACATCAAGTCTAAGCTAATCAATAAGAAAAATTGGAGGTTGATCTAACCACACTACTGTGGCATCCCAGTTCGTTTTGCTATGAGCCATAATATGAGTTGCTTCGTTTGTTGTCCGTCTCACATGCTGCCAAGTCCCTATTCCAATGTCTTCGATGATGTGTCTGATGCTTCTGCATATAGTTCCTAGCTCCACCTGAATCTTATCTGCCTTGCTGAGCTTGTGAACTAAACTCAAGCAAGTTGTTTCCAAAACCACCTGTCCATAATTGAATTGACTCGCCGGCCTCAACCCGAATTCCGCTGTGAGGGCCTCTGCTGTCTCGACTTCCCAATCTCTATTCTTTTTTCTGCCGTCGCCAGAAGGAAATGACCAGCTGCATTTCTAATGACTACACCCAATCCAACTCCTCCTTCCTGTAGAGTTCCAGCATCAGTATTCACCTTAACCCATCCATCCTTCGGTTTTCGCCAGCCTTGTGGTTGTTCCTACACTACTCCCTGATTTTTGCGTTGGCATTTCTTAAAGTATTGGAGGAGTCCACTTGCTTGAGCCACAATGAGAAGCTCATCCATCTTTATCCCACTGAAGCAGTGCGTATTTCGTCCTCTCCAAAAATACCACATGAGAACGCAACACTCCTCAATCTCCTCATCCGTCATGGTCGTAAGCACTTCAGTAGTCCACTCCAAGCATGTTTTTCCAGATGCTTTCACAAAATAGTTTGCTGAGCTTGATCGGCGCCACAACCTGCAAGTCCACTCGCATTCTCCAAAGAAATGGAGTTGCGTCTCTCTACTTCCACAGAAGTAACACTTCTCGCCCCACCTCGGATCGTGCTGACATGGTCTCAAGTGACCAAATTGTCCATTGCAAATCTCCACATAAAGTTTCGAATTTTTGGCGGGATATCCAGCTTCTACAGCTTGTTCCACATCGCCGTCTCCCCCACTTTGTCAACATTTTCTCGCAAGCCTTCAAGCCAGTGGAAGGAGCCATCACGAACAATATACTCTCTGGTCTTGCTTGTGGCCCATATCAGTCGATCACTTTCCCTCTCACTCCTCAGTGGGATAGACTGAATGGCTTTTGCCGTTGTTGCAGTAAAGCAAATTTCGAGAACTAGTCTATCCCATTGGTTTGTGTTTGGGTCAATCAACTCCCTAACTGGAGGGTCTACCGCCAACCCTCTTGGTGCTGAATCAACAAAGTTATTCTCAATTCCAGGGATCCATCTGTCCCCCATATTCAAACCGTAGCTCCATTACCTATTCTCCATTGCAGGCCACTCAACAAGAAGTCTTGAACGCCCCATAAGACTTCTTCAAATATAACTTGGCCGATAACCCAAGTTTGTTTCTAGTATTCCTTGATTTTTGTGGTATTTCGGTCGTATAACTCTAGCCGCCAGCGACTCTGGTCTATGTGAGAGGCTCCACCATTCTTGGCCAAGAGAGCCACGTTAAACCCTCCCAAATCCCTGAAACCAATGCCACCTTCCTCTTTCTTTGTGGCCAACGCTTCTCGTCTCAGCCAGTGCACTTGCTTCTCCGTCCCTCGTTGACCCCACCAAAAATTAATAATGAGGCTATGAATTTCATCGTTCGTACCTTCTGGGATACGAAAGACGGACATGGCATAAGTCAGCTTAGCTTGGGCTACCGGCTTAATCATCACCTCCCTTGCAGCTACAGACATCGTCTTCTCTTTCAAGCTCTTTAGTTTATTCTTCACTCTTTCTTTGACCCCAGTGAACAGGTCCTTCTTTGACCTTCCTGCTTCGTCGCCAATCCCAAATATTTATCGTGCTTATCCACGATCTGCATCCCCAGAATGTCGCCTACCTCCAATTTTTGATGTGGTTTCACATTCGCGCTGAAAGAGACCTCCGATTTATGAAAGCTGAAAAGCTGGTCGGACTCAGTTTCATAGTCGCGGAATATCTTCTTTAGTTCAGTGCAATCTTGTATTGTTTCCATGCCAAAAAAGAAATTGTCATCAGCAAAAAAACAGATGGGACACTACTAGGGCTCTCTTGTTGACTTGGTATCCATGTAATCTTCCTCCCTCCACCGCCATCTGCATATATGCCGATAGTCCTTCTGCACAGAGGAGGAAGAGATAGGGAGACAAGGGATCACCATGTCTTAATCTTCTTTATGGCTGGAAACGTGGGGACTGGTGACCATTCACCAAGATGGAGAAAGACACTGTCGATACGCACATCATCATTAAACCAATCCGATCCACCTCTCTGCAAAGCCCATCCTCCGCATCACTCCTTCTAGGAAATGCCACTCCACTCGGTTGTAGGCTTTTTCCATGTCCACCTTCGTTGCAAAGTAGCCAGTACTGATCTTAAACTGCTTCTTTTCATTGAATAGAAACACTCAAAAGCAGTAATGCTATTATCCAAAATGCTTCTCACTAGTACGAAAGCACTTTGCTATGGTGAAATGATCTTCTCTAACAGACTTTTTAGTCTGTTTGCCACCTTCGCTACTACTTTATATATCACATTACATAGACTAATCGGTCTAAACTTTTTTGGTGATTTGGGTGACTTAACCTTTGGGATAACCGCTATCAAAGTATGATTTAAATCCCCCGTCATCACTCCAGTTCTCACGATTTGCCGTACTATTTCGATGACTTCTGGTCCCACAATTCTCTAATACTTCTAAAAAAAGAACGCACTTAACCCATCAGCACCCGGAGCCTTTCGTGGCCCCATTTGCTTCAGCGTCGCATAGATTTCATCCCCTTCTATCGGTCGTGGCAACATTTCATTGTCAGCGTCGGAGACCCTTTGAGTGATGGAGTCGAGAACGGGGGTCTCGCTAGACCTTGTCCCTGCCTTGAATAATTCCATGAAGTAGTCCATGAAGTAGTCATTCAGGCATGTGAAAAGATGCTATGTTCCCGTAAACCATTGTCCTGTCTCATCCTTCAACTTCTTGATAGTATTTCATTTCCTCCGGGCTGTTGCTTTTCGATGGAAAAAGCGGTGTTTTTATCACCTTCTTTCGACCAATCAACGGGCGATCGTTGCTTCCATAAATTTCTTCATTTGTTTCCAACTCTTCCAACTCAGATTCCAGTGCCTGCCTTTGTTGGATCACCGCCGACGTCTTGTCCAACCTTTCTAAGGCACGCATGGCTTTGTTGATGTGATTCTTTTGTTCGGAAAAGTTGGGAAACACCTCTTTACTCCATGAATCTAGTTTCCTTGAGCACATGCTTACCTTATCCAGAATATGACCACCCCGTATTTCCCAAGCTTCTTCAATAATCTTTTCACACTCTGCATGTTTCGACCATATATGATCGAATCTGAAAGACCAATCCCACTTAATTTCCTCGTTGTTTTCCCCTCTTGTATCACAAATAATCGGACGATGGTCCGATCTGTTCCAGTCCAGATGGATCACTCGAGCAGTCTGGAAAGTATTTGGCCATCCCTCATTTGCCACAAAACGATATGTTCCAGTCCACTTTTAACTTTTAAGTTAATTAGACGGATGGTAGTAATGAGTACTTGTTTGGTATTTTAGAAAATTAAATTTGATAAATATCTCTCTCCTCCCTTATAAATAATTTTTACGTGAAAACTACTACTACTTAAATTAGTAGTGATTTAGAAAAGTTGTTGTGGGGATTTGATTTTTTTTTATGAGAGTTGTGGCGATTTGATGATGGTCAGTAGTAACTTTAATGTCGTAGTGGCATTTTTTAATTAGTAGTGATTTATTTTTAGTGAGAACACTACTGAAAATGAAGACAATGCTGCAAATCAACAAATATGACTAAAACTAAGAAACATTACTAATAGTTAACATAAATCACTACTCATTACAATAAAAAACACTACTGATACATATAAAAAAAATACTACAACACAAAGGCTACTAATAAAAAAAATAGTCCTAAGCGCACCTCAATTGTTTCCATCTTCTTCAACAATGTGGAGGCACTAGAGGTGGCAAAAATATCAAATTGATTGGTGGATTGACTCATTCAAATGTTATTCAAGTGTTGGACCATTATGTAAATTTTGAAAAGTTTAGGTACTAAAATATCATAATGAAAAATTTTAGGATACCAAACCGTAATTTTTTAATGATATTTTTTTGTATACAAAATAAATTTTAGGTACCAAAATATAAAATATAAAAAGTATAAGTACTAAACCATAATTTGTCCTTTGGATCAACGCATGAATCCACCAATCCAATTGGATTTGGATCAAATGAATTGGATTAAATGGATTGAATTATATGGATAATTTGGTGAATGTATTTGATTGAATTCATAAATATGGATACTAATTACCAACTCCAGAAGTCACGCATGAATATGTTGTTTCAGATTGACTGGAGAAGAGCAAGACCAACGATCGAGCAATGAATCCTGGAGACCTTTTCCTTTCTGATCCATGTGAAGTTTTGTAGCCTTAAGTTGTGATGAGATAGGAGAGCCTTCTGGTATAAGAAGGAAGAAGAAAGATGGAGGATAGCCTTTTTATTGTGGTTTCTTGCTGCTTTTTTGCAAGATTAGTTGTTCATTGAAACTAAAGTTTTGTTTCCTCCTACGTAATGGAGGCTGGCGTTGCACCATTCATTCAGCTTTGAACCATGTTTGTGCCACCCTCCCAGTCCAATATTCGGTACCTAGGTACCGATAACCCTATTGATTTCCACCCCTATTTGTAGTTACAGGTTATATGATGATTTATGAGGAAAACGTACAATTTCCATTTTCATTTCCAAAATGTAAATATAGTACTCAAACAGTCATCTTATCTCCCATCACAACACTGAGCATCTTAATTTCTGAAGATAACCGTTTCTTTTATTCATATAGCCATAAAATATATGACTACTCGAGGCTTATGATGATTCATGTTTGTATTTACTAGTTTATATATACATCCACTCGGGTAGCAGCAGCAGCCTTTCTTTCACAGAGTACATCATTCTAGTGAAAACTCTCAACTGTTTGGATTCAGTCTACTGCATGAAACAGCTCTTGATGATCAATCCTTGTCCTTTCTTCACCTGATGCGATTCGCCCAAGCAAAAGGCTCCTGATTCTTCTTCGGGGCAGATTTCTTGGCTGCTTCATTAGGATCACCAAACACATTCCAGAACCTCAGTGTCTCATCTCCAGCAGCCGAGGCCACAGTACAGCCATCAGGACTCTGCGCCAAGAACAGCACCCTCGACGTATGCCCCGTGAGCTCAGCGGTCTTCACCATGGACGGATACTTCCACAGTGTCAGCTGATTCTGAGTGAACCCATGAGAGCTCAGAAGCTCCCTCTCGTTCTTGTTCCACAGCAACGCACAAACCTGCGATCCGGTGTCGACCGAGTTCAAGCACGCCCCTGTGTGTGTGTTCCAGAACTTGATCGTCCTGTCTCCTCCTCCACCTCCAGAAGCAAGCAAGTTGGACTGGAAAGGACACCACGCGAGCGCCTTGACTGCCGAAGTGTGATCCTCGAGCCGGTGGAGATACTGAGTTGGGGAGCTCGAGGAAGCCACTGATCTGTCCCAGATGTGAATGAGATTGTCGTTCCCACCACTCGCTAGTTGCTTCCCTGAAGCTGACCATTTGAGCCCGCAGACTTCCTGTGTGTGGCCTCTGTATGTCTCGACGATGTGGTCGCGAATCCGGACGTCGTTGTTTATGATCCTGCCGTCCATTCCTCCTGTGGTGAGGATGTGGTCGTTCCAAGCCAGTGAGCCGACGCGACATCTGTGCCCTCCTTTGAGAGTTCGTAGCTGTTTGTTGGAGGCTGAATCCCACAACTGGACCTCGGAGTTGTTCAGTCCAATAGCGATGTGGCGGCCATCAGGAGCCCAGTTCACGCTGGTGACAGGGCCGTGTTCTTCATCGACTGTCACGAGCTCGGAAGTGGAGCCAGTAGATGCATCCCAGAGGTAAACTGTGCTTCCGAGAGCTATGGCCAGAACGTTGCTGCTGCCCCAATCGAGCAAGTTCAGGTAGAAGTCGTCGACGAGGTCTGGAGCATCCAGTGTCCTCTCTGAAGTCTGCCAACAAATGGAAAGCATCATTATACAACCCAGCTAATTACATCCATCTATCAACAAACTAACTGAGACAATTCATGTGTAGAAATCAAATCAGGCAACTTGAGATGTGGGAATGAAGAGTTTACCTGTGGGATGTGCCTGCGGGGTTTGGTGGGTTTAGCCTGGTGCGTTGTGGAAGAAGCTGAAGCAGTGTGTTGATGGGGGATCAGCTCGACGGGGACCGGAGGCTTGTTCTTGAACGCCAGGATTCTGGTTCGGTTCAGGTTCAAGGTCTCGGCGAGCAGTCTCTTGTAGGCCTCGCTTGAAGGAGAGCTTGGGACTGAGTTATCCTTTTCTTTCCTGCCTTGAGTCACCATGAAATGGGCGTAATCCATGTCCATAGCTGATCGATTCGGGATGAATCTGTCCAACTGTTGTGACCATGGCAACGAAAAGTCAGGACGGATCTTTAATTCTTAGATACAAAGGAAAAGAACGGAAACTGAGAATTTCAAACCCTAACCCAGAACAGAGAACCACAGATTGGGGAGGTGAAAAGAACAAGACCTTTCTCTTAAACAGGGATTTCAAATTCAATTGGAACCCTAGATCTAGAAATTAGAGCAGATTCGAGAGAGGTGAAAGAAATTGCTTACGTTCTCTTTGGAACCTCTTCTCTGGAGAGGGAATCTGGGATTGGGCGTGGTGTAGCTCATATTTGCAGATCCTGAATCCATCAATTCAAACACAGAGCAAAAACGAAACAAGAAACAAACCCTAACAGTTTACAGTAAGCAATTAGTAAAGAAATTCAGACAACGAAGAGAGAAACCAGAATCTCAGAGATCTGCAAAACAAGGGGTTAGGATCAGAGAAGCAAACGCAAGCAGTAGCAAACTGAAATCAAATAGAGAGGAATTGCCGGCGAACAAAGAGGAATCTGGGACGAGGAGCTGTGAGAAGAAATGAGTGCGCAGAGAAAGATTTGTTGTTCGCCGATTGGAGAACCGTAACAGAGCAGGAGGAAGAAGGAGAGCCGAGAGAGCAATTGGTGAAGAATCGGGTGGGAGAGCGAGCGCTTTATAGCAGCGATTTTGGGGGAAAATTGGAGATTTAGGGTTCGGGGGATAACAAAAACAGAGCTTTGACAAAATATAGCCGTTGGAACTCCGCGTTCCCGCGCCGTTCACTTCTAGTTCATTTGGGCTGGGCCTTTTTTTGGTGAAACTTGGGTTTTATTTCGGGCCTGATTGGAGGGGTGCATTGATGAGCGGTTGAAGAATTGGTCCAAGCGTAATTAAGAGGTCGTTTGGAGAACAGGATTTAGGGCGTGGATTCATTGAATCCGTAGATTTTGTAGAAAATTATGTTTTTTTGTTGCCTTTTGTATTGTGGATTTTAGCTTTAGAGATTTGAATGGATATCAAATCTCTCATAATCATAGAGATTCTATATATTGATTCATGAGATTTTTTTTCTCCTACCTTTTCTCTTTCTTTTATTTATTTATCATATTAAATATATTTACTAACAAAGTTTTTAATATTTCACAAACGGGAGCGCTCCGAGATTCTAGGACTGGCGGAAAAAAACCTTGCGAAGGCTCCTAGGGTTTCCCTACTCTCGCGATGCCGGCGGTGGGTACACCACTGGCCGGCGACGGTAACAACATTAATGATAGTCCTATGACTGCTGAAACGGTAGCGGGGCAGCGCCGACCACCCACGGAATCCTCATCCCCTAACCCTAAGGGTGATAGGGAGGCTCAACAAACGAAGAAACGAGTCAAGCAAACTGTACTCTTCCCGGAGGAAGGGTTACGCGATGAAGTGCTGCAAGATTCGCCGGATAAGGCAGGACAGCCCGCCCCCCAACCTAGCCCACGCCCATCTGCTTGGGGAACAAGCGCAGGGGCAGCGTGAAAGCTGTTTGGTGACTCCACGCGCCCCGGGGTGTGGTACGTAGAAGATTCCGGCTCGGAGGATGTTGCGGAGGCTACTAGAGCGGACGGTCTGGATGCGGGTTTTGAAGGGGAGGATGACCCGACGTGCCCTAACATCTACTATACAGCGGCGGAGGAGAGGATGTTCACCAGAGAATGGAGATCGGCACTAGTGGTTAAAGCGCTGGGGAGATCCGTTTCATACACACTAATGGCGAAACGGCTGAACACTATTTGGGCTAGAGCGGGAGGCATTCAAGTGACGTCAGTGAAGAATGATTATTTTCTTGTGCGTTTCACTAGTGGTATTGACTTTGATAGAGCTGTTACCGGGGGGCCATGGATGATAGGTGACAACTACTTGACGGTCCACCCATGGACGAAGGACTTCAATGCCTATGAACATGAAATCTCGTCGACGCTTGTCTAGGCTCGCCTACTTGAGATCCCTATCCAGTATTTCCACCCAGTGGCTGTGATGAAAATCGGGAACCGCATTGGGAAGCCATTAAGAGTTGATCATGCTACGAGCACTGGTGCCAGGAGTGATTATGCAAGGGTGTGCGTCCAAGTTGATCTAACGAAACCATTACTCTCCCAGTTCACGATCCATGGCAAAAAATACTTTATACAGTACGAGGCTTGGAGAATATTTGTTTGGACTGCGAAACTTATAAGATCAGGGGGAAGTGCTACTGCACACCAACGCAGGAGCCCATGGATGCCGAGGGCACCCCACAAAGAGAGCCTAACAGAGAGTCGGTACAAACCGAGACAAATCAGAGTGAGGCACGACAAGGGACTTATGGTGAATGGATGGTGGCTAAGAGAAAGCCTCGGACAAAGAAGGATGTGACAGGAACAACCTCGGGCAGAGATACGTCAATGCGTTTGACCAAGCCTCAAGACTCTAGTAACGGGTCACGATTTACTACACTTAGTGTGGACGAAATAGTGGATAGCGATGATCAAGGCCCCGGGGCGAAGAATGTTCCACAGGAGAGTACCAAGGTGAATCCGCACTCTCAAAAGGCTCCGAAAGGAAAGAACTCGAAGCAGACAGAGGTGATCAAGGAAGGGGGAACGGGGCGTCAACCCATCGATGATAAAGATAAGAGGCCAGTAGAGAAGCCGAACCTTCCAGCAGGCATTTCAACCATGGCTGTGGAGACCATTCCTTCACAGTCCCCGACTGCATCTCTCGCCCTGGGAAAGGAGGCTAGGCCACCAGGTGATGGGAACTTGGCAGTGATTGTAACAAAGGGAAATGCTGCGACTTGTATGCCACAGTGTAGCTCGGATGGGGCAGAAAAAAACTTAACTCGACCACCGGACGACTGCAACATACATCAAGATTCTAGTACGTCGAACTCTTACCACGAGATGCTACAAGGGATAACCAAAGGTTTGCATGAGGGCCCAGGATCCGGGGATGCCTCCATGCATACGTGATTTGTTTGTCAACGGGGCCCTATCCTCAACGTTTTGATGATGTTGAACGTGTTTACTTGGAATTGTAGGGGTGCGGGGGGTAAAAGATTCCTCCGAGTTTTTAAGGAATACCAGAGAAGATATAGACCTTGTATGGCTATCATAGTTGAGCCGCGCATTAGTGGAGATAAGGCGGAGAGGGTTCTGATGAGTATGGGTTATGCAAAATGGCTCGTCGTCGAGGCGGTGGGCTTTGCGAGGGGGATTTGGCTTGCATGGGATACCTCTGTTGTAATGGTTACTGAAGCAGACCGATCTGATCAGTTTCTGCACGTTCAGGTTCTAAGTGGGCAGGATTCGTGGTTTTTGACAGCTATCTATGCAGACCCGGCTTTGATTCAGAGGCGGGCTCTGTGGCAGTCTATCCGTAGTATGGCGGAGGAGATGGTTGACCCTTGGCTGTTAGCTGGTGATTTCAATTCGATATTACAGCCATCGGATAAACTTGGTGGCGCGCTGTTCGATGCAAGTCGAGCAAGGGATTTCCAGGAGTGCGTCCTTGATGCGGGGTTGACTGACCTAGGATTTATGGGCCCACCTTTCACCTGGTTCCGTTCAGGGGTCAAAGAGAGGCTCGATCGGGGGCTAGTTAACTCCGCGTGGTCCTCGAGTTTTCCAGATACTGTCGTCCGCCATCTACCGAAAGCGAAGAGCGATCACAGACCTATTCTAATTTGTTTGAATCCGACATTCCAACCGGCGGGGCCTAAGCCGTTTAAATTTCTTGCTGCCTGGCTTCTGCACGATGACTTTAAGAACATGGTTGAGCGAGCTTGGGGGCGGGGCACCGACCTCCTGAGTTCAGTCAAAGAGTTTGCGGCTGAAGCAAAAGAATGGAATACAAATACGTTCGGCCACATTATACGTAAGAAGAACGCACTGCTAGCGAAGATCGAGAGATTGGAGTTACGGACGGGGAGTGATGATGATAATATGGAGCTGAAGCAGGCAAGAGATGAGCTGGAAGACATACTTGTCCAAGAGGAACTTCTCTGGTGTCAGAAGGCAAACCTGGAATGGATCAACTCGGGGGATAAAAATACAAAGTTCTTCCACTCGCGAGCTGTGAAGCGAAGACGAAGGAATAGAGTCACAGTCCTGAAAGATAGGGAGGGACAGTGGGTTGATGATCCAATTCGCCTGCTGGAAATGGCCTGCCAGTTCTTCACTGATTTGTATACGGATGATGGGCTACCGACGAGCACGATTGCTGAGGCTTTTCCTACTATCCCGAGTAACATGTGGTTGGGCGTGGATTCCCAGTTTACAGAAGAAGAAATTCATAGCGCAGTCAAGGCCATTGGGGGTTTGAAAGCCCCGGGAAAGGACGGCTTGAATCCTCTGTTTTACCAGAGGTGTTGGAGCATAGTGGGGAAGGAAGTAGTGCACTTTGTGCGGAAGTGTTGGGAGGAGTCGACCGAAGTTAAGAAAATTAACCAAACAATCCTAGCACTAATCCCGAAAGTGCAACGCCCGACTCTGATCGAGCATTTCCGGCCTATCAGCTTATGTAACGTGGCCTACAAGATGATTACTAAATGCCCCGCTGAGAGGCTGAAGCTGATAATGCCCGCTCTTGTACACGAAACTCAAACGAGCTTTGTACCAGGGAGACACATTACTGACAATATCTATGTTTTAAAGGAAGTTGTTCGCTCGATGAGAGCGAAGAAGGGGAGGACAGGCTGGATGGTGTTGAAGATCGACCTGGCGAAGGCTTATTATCGAATCAAATGGAGCTTTGTCCGTGATACCTTGGAAGCTACAGGGGCTCCTCCGAAGTTCATCGATTTGACCATGAGCTGTGTCACCATGACGTCAATGCAAATTCAGTGGAACGGAGGGCTCACAAATGAGTTCTCCCCATCTAGAGGTCTCCGACAGGGCTGCCCCCTTTCCCCGTACCTGTTCACGTTGTGCATGGAACGCCTGGGGCACATTATCCAGTCTGCTGTTGAGGCGGGAAGGTGGAAGCCGATCAAGCTGTCGCAAGGGGGGCCACCCTTGTCCCACCTTTTCTTCGCTGACGATCTCATTTTATTTGGTGTAGCTTCCATTCAGCAGGTTCAGGTCATTTCTCAATGCTTGGAAGACTTTGGGGCGGCCTCGGGACAACAAGTAAGCAAGCCGAAGTCAAGAATCTTCTTTTCCTTGAACTTAAATGCTCATGACTGCAAGCGCCTGAGCGAGGAGATGGACATCCCGCAAACCTCAAACCTCGGCAGGTACTTGGGCGTCCCGGTCATCCATGATCGGGTCTCGAAGGCGACGTTTGTTGATTTAATTGACAGGATAGATGGTCGGCTAGCTGGTTGGAAAGTCGCCACTCTCTCGCTGGCAGCTCGCATCACCCTCGCACAATCAGTCTTGGGAGCCTTGCCGGCGTATACGATGCAGACATCTTTTCTTCCAGCAGCAGTTCGTGAATATATTGACAAGAAGATCCGCGGCTTCGTCTGGGGAAGCTCGGAGCAGGGAAGGAAGCTTCACCTAGTAGATTGGGATACGGTTTGTAGGCCAAAGACGGAAGGAGGCCTGGGGCTGCGGAATGCCACTCGCATGAACGAGGCCTTTATGATGAAGATTGCTTGGAGATTGTTAACAGAGCCGGACAGCCTGTGGGCGAGACTAATTATTGCTAAATACCTACGTCGCACAGCAGAGGGTTGGGTACCGCGTACAACGGGAAGAATGTCGAATCTTTGGAGGGGAGTACTGCGAATACTCCATTTGTTACCA